CCGGCGTAGGGGACGCAGGAAACCACAGCGGGCACCGCATCCCGCACGCGGGGCGTTTCCCCGCCGACACGCCCCGGACGAAGCCCAGCTTCTACCTGAAGCACAGCCGGGGGGAGCCATGGGAACGGAGCAAGAGTAACGGCCCGTCCCGCGGCTCTGTGAGCAGGTCTCTCCACACAGCGTGTGTCCGACTCACCCTGCTGATGACCGCGAGGCCCTGAGACCACACAAGGCCGAGTGAAGGCGGGAACTGGGACCTTTTCCCCGGAAGGAAGCACTTGACGGCTTCTCTTCGGCGTCTCCGCACTGCCGGCGTCTCTACGCTTGAACTTTGGGGCCATTATTTAGTAAAACAGGGGGCTGAACACAAGCACTCCGATGCCAGTCTCTTATAATCAAGACAGCCACGTAGCTAACAAGGGGCACGCAACTAAGGGGCCACGCAACCAACGTGGGCACGCAACCAACGTGGGCACGCACTAACGCGGGCACGCAATCAACGTGGGCACGCAACTAACGGGGGCACGCACTAACGTGGGCACGCAACTAACGTGGGCACGCAACTAACGGGGGCACGCACGAACGTGGGCACGCACTAACGGGGGCACGCACTAACAGGAGCACGCAACCAACGGGGGCACGCACTAACGGGAGCACGCAACCAACGGGAGCACGCAACTAACGTGGGCACGCACTAACGTGGGCACGCACTAACGTGGGCACGCACTAACGTGGGCACGCAACTAACGTGAAAGCACGCAACTAACGTGGGAGCCGGTAGCTAGCGTGGGGCACGTACGCAGGCAGCATGGAGATGCTGACCAAGGGCTGGTTCAGGTCCTGCGGAGAAAGCGCGAGATTGCATCACACTCCTCTGCACCAAGAGGGCTTAAAATGCATGGCTTATTTCTGGAATTTTTCCACTTAATGTTTTCCTACCCCACTAACGCGGGTATCGGAAACGTGGACCGTGAAGCTGCAGGCAAGGGAGACGGCCATGCTGGAGGTTTGGTGCCCGGCCCCCTGGGCATCAGAACTGCTCCTAGAAGGCGGCCCGGCCCGGGCCTGCTCCCCGGAGAATTCCCAACACGCAGTCTAACCACCCAGCTGCGCCCACAGACTCCTCCTCGTGCGGTAGTGCCACGTGGAGGACTGTGTCACGTAGCAAATCCTCGTGGGAACAGAAGGTGTTCCACGCAAAATTCCTGTTTAGGGAAAGGGAAACCATGCCACATATACAGTATATATGTATATTTTTAATTGATTTCAGAGAGGAAGGGAGAGGGAGAGAGACATCAAGGATGAGAGAACCAGTGGTCGGCTGCCTCCTGCGCGCCCCCTGCTGGGGAAGGAGCCCGCGGCCTGAGCGCGTGCCTCCAGGTTCACAGTGGACTCAACCGCTGAGCCGTGTTCACACCTGCGGCCTGGTGTGCAGATGGGAGAACAAGCTGAGAGGCCACCGGGAGGTGGCACTGCGCCCGCAGGGTGGGACCCTACTCCGTGAATGTGGGATTGGACATCAAGAAAAACAATTTATGTCGAACTGTATGCTAGAGACAGTAACTACTGTGGCTGATCAGGAAAGGCCTCAGTGTTTGTTAAGACTCATAAAGACATGAAAAGTATTTTTCAAACCACTGCCGGTGATGTAAGCTGTATGACAGCCTTTTTTAAAAAAAAAAAAAAAAAGGTTCTTTATTTCTTTCTTTTTTAGACAGGAAGGGAGAGGAAGAGAGAAAGATGTATCAGTGTGAGAGCGAGACATCGGATCGGCTGCCCCCTGCAGGCTCCCCCACCCGGATCGACACTCAACTAACTGCGCCACATGGGCCAGAGGGGACACTGCCATTGTTTTTTGCTTCAGTTATACTGTTTTTTAAAATAAGGAAACAAGTCATTTTAAAAACAAATACATATTTTTTTAATATAAATGGAAAGTAAATATTCACCAATGCCAGAAATAATCTATCTTCAACTCCGGGCTCTTTTCAAAAGATACAAGATCATTGTTTCAAAAGATACAAGATGCACAGATAAATCACATTCACTCCTTACAAATGTTAAATAGCACACAATTTAAATTCATAATGAACAATAATTTTTCAGTAGCTTGAAATGTCAGTTGTCCATTCCATAATTTTTTATGAGTATAAAAGAGCTAATCATGTACCTTACTATAATTTATGTATTACTCCAAAGAACAAACCACGCAAAAGATAGAGTCCCATGCTTATATGTATTATAAAAATACTGAGACATGTATCAGTCATAACTCATATAATGAAAACTATATTTTGGAAATGTTTCAAAAAGACAAGTCCAACGTTTCTCTTTGGTTCATAAAATACAAGAGGTAGATTCAAAGAAAGTAAATGCCTATTATGTCGCTAAATTTTCACTAAAATGTTGACAATTTATAACAGCAATTACTAGAAATCAAACAAGTTTAGAAACTAAATTTTAAAAAATGGTAAGAATAACTTCAACTAATGTTATTCTAACTCCTAATCACATAAGTCAGAAAAGATAGTTAACTACAAAAAGAATAGCTCTAATAAAAACATGCTATCAATATTAAAAATTAAGTTTTCTATATCATAACATGTTCTAAAACTTGGGGCAAGAGAGATTATGAATGTGTATGTTCATAAATTGGGCCTTTTGTTTAAATATAAGTACCTAATATAGAAGATATTTGCTACTACTGTTATGTACTATTCCCTTAGGTTTGTGCTGCCCATGTGGAGAATTGCAGGTTCAAAGAAACTCAACAGGGAGGGAGGACAGGGAATGTCACCCGGGATCAACCCACTTCGTGTAATGAAGACATTTCAGATAACCAAGAACGGTTCCCAGAGACCGTCCCAGGGAAATCTGATTCAAGTAGGAAACAAAGGACGAAAAAGAGAGAGATGCTCTTCAGAAGCTGATCTCCATAAAAATGTTTTGTTTCCTGGTACTTTTCAAAGCCAAGACAGAATATAAACAGAACCCTTCAAATAAGGTGCCTTGTGTTGATAACGTAACGGCAATAAGCTGACAGTATGTCCTCTCAGGAACCAAATCACAGTGCAAGGAAAAGAGAAAAAGGCCCGCAGAGTAAGTATTATCTCATCACTCCTTTACAAAAATGATAGCAATAGTCCAGCCACTTATGTCCATTCTTACTCACTTAAAGGAAGGTAAGGACAGAAACCCAATGACTTCTATTAACAGGCCTACAAGGAAATGTTAAGAAGTCTACAAAGACACTCAAAATATATAAAACAGTTTAAGTGTTGAGGTTTTCTGATCATCTTGCGTTTAAGAAAAAGACAAGTATAAAGCTGGCATAAACCTGAACCATCCAAAAATAAAGATGGATGATCTATGATTCCACCACACAAGACAGATTTAGTTCAAGCAGGTTCGTGTTTCAGATTGAGGACTCAGGGCAGGGATTTGTAGAAAGGATTAAGAAGAAGAGAGAAAATTCAGTTTTCTGGCATTTTTCAAAATTGGATGAGCTTATCAAAACTATGATTTTTTAAAACATTTCTGTATATAGAAAATTGAGCCCAGATGCTTAAATGATCATTGATAAGCTCTTCCCGTTTGTGAAAAAAATACTTCTTTTGCCATCGACTTGCAATTCTAGGAGAAAAAGTCCCTCTAGATATTATTGAGAATTTCCGTGTAATTGTGCTAAAGCAAAAAAAAAAAAAAAAAAAAAAAAAAAAAAAAAAAGTTCAACATGTCATTTCTGGATGACTCCTAAAGTTTGTTTCATATTTTCATAAACCACATAGCTGATGCCTACAGCCGGGAGCACCTTCATGAAGTTTGGGGTGATGCCTCTGTAAAGTCCCGGTACCCCCTCTTTGGAAATGATTCGTCGGAAGAGGCCAACCATGGTCAGCTGTGGGCTTCCTTCCATCATGGCTAGAAGATAAAAAAGGAAACCAGGCTACTTCAATACTCAAGCCTGCAGCATTCGTATCAGTATGCATCATTGGGCTTCAGAGTGATGCAGAGGAAAGGGTCCCATTCATTCCAAGGGGTCCAAGAGAGTAAAGTACCCTCTATTATTTATATTGAGTCTAGAAATTGAAGTTTCATTTAATGCAGCGGTTCTCAACCTGTGGGTCATGACCCCTTTGGGAGTCGATCAACCCTTTCACAAGGGTCGCCTAATACATCCTGCATATCAGATATTTACATGACGATTCAAAACAGTAGCAACATTACAGTTATGAAATAGCAACGAAAATAATTTTATGGTTGGGGGTCACAACATGAGGAACTGTATTCAAGGGCCGCGGCGTTAGGAAGGTTGAGAACCACTGGAAAGAAATGACAGAGGGTGAGATTGGCCAGGGAAACAGCAAAGGAGAAAAGGCACAGAAAGCATACCTGATTGACAGAGCAATAAAAGCCAGCGGATCGTAAGGAAAGAGGATTAGCCCACCTGGTGTGGCTCAGTGGTTGAGCATTGACCTATGAACCAGAAGGTCACGGTTCGATTCGAGGTCAGGGCACATGCCCAGGTTGCAGGCTCAATCCCCAATAGGGGACATGCAGGAGGCAGCCTGATCAATGATTCTCTCTCCTCACTGATGTTTTTTTCTCTCTCTCCTCTCTCTCTCTCTTCTCCTTCCCCCCTGAAGTCAAATAAATTTTTTTTTAAATAAATTATCCACGAGGTGACAGAAAGCCAAGAGGGCACAGTGGGATCAAAGTCGAGGGCGGAGACAGTGTCCCGTTGGGGAGGATCACAGGTCACGTGTTGTAGCGTCCACAGTAAGAAGCAATTCCAGCCGCCACTGACCAAGACGCTGACAAAGGCCTGGTGTCTCACACGGACTGCTGCTAATTCTTACAACGCGGCCGGTCTTCGTCCCCATTCACAGGTGGGAAAAGGAAAACCCAGAGAGGCTGTGTGCAAGGATCTGAGCCCAAGTCCATCTAGATACGAACGCTTACACATTCTTTTTTTTTTAATCTTCACCCAAGGACATTTCACATTGATTTTTACAGAGCGTGGAAGAGAGAGGGAAAGACGGAGAGAAACATCGATGTCAGAGACACACATGGATTAGCTGCCTCCTGCTGCACATGCCCTGACCAGGGCCCGGCCAGGGAGGAGCCTGCAACCAAGGTAGGTGCCCTTGGCCGGAATCAAATCGTGACTGGTCCACAGGCCAATGCTCTATCCACTGAGCCAAACCAGCTAGGGCAAAGCTTACACATTCTTAAAGCATGTGTTCCCCACACGAGTGCATAGAAACCCTTACTGTTTATGCATAAAGCACGGGTATACATACAGTACATGTGCAGTGTGTCTGTGGTGTTAGAATTTCATGAAGAGGGAGTGATTAGGAAAAGGCTTTGTGAAATGGGAGGCAATGAAGAATGGAAGGCTGGGGTATGCCATCTTCATTGAAAAACCCACCTTGAGCCTGCATGCGTGTTCTCACCAAAGACAGCGGGTAGCTGGCCAGCTGCCCGCAGGTGCTGGACAAGGCGCCACACCCCAGCAACACAGCCACTCCGGGGTTCACCGTGTCTTTGGCAAAATGATCCAGCCAATGGGACTTCAAGAGCTGCAGGGACACAGAAAAAAGAGGAGAGACGGTGAACAGCTCGCTTCACGGCCACTTTCACTCGACGTGAACATTTTCACAGCTACTCTCGTCCTGCAGGAGACGGGCCACCCACTCCCAAGAGGGGCAGCTCTGCACAGCTGGGGAGCCGCTGAGGATTCAGACCCAGGCCCGGGAGGTCTCTAAGTAACCGTGAAGGTCAAACGCACCAACTCCGGGACCTGAAGAACACTGCCTACAGTGAGTGCTGATCAAAATAAT